TATTCCATAGATTCTCTATGGGTTTCAGGTCAGGCCAGTTTGGTGATCAGTCAAATAGTAATACCCAGAGGTGTCAAGTAATGACGTACTTTGTTACTGTACTTAAGTACACTTTTTAGGTATCTATACTTCACTTCATTACTTTTTTTTCTTCCTACTTCTGACTTCTAATCATTACATTTTATCTATACTTTCTATTCTTTACATTTTTAAAACAAACGTTACTCATTACTCTTGGTTTATGTTTATAAATATTTATTTAACATCATGTGCGCCATCCAATGCAGATCATTGGCGCCATTCACATCTAGTGAAACCTAGTGTATTTGGATGAGTCATATAACGCAAACACTCATTGGTTAGCTAAAGGAAATTATTAGAAGCAAGCAGGTGATCTTCATACTGCAAACGTGAATTGTCTATGCCATGCTACAATGTTGGATTTAGAAAAAGATGTTGAAATGTCTGAAAGGTCGGACACAGGCAAGAGCGTATCGGGAGATGAAGACCAACAAGACCTCCCTCATCCTTGGCTCTATCTCAAATAATTTTTCGAAATAGTCGAAAAATTGAGCTTTCAATTCATATAGAGGAATCTGGCTGATTTTTTAAAGGTTACTTTATACTTTTATACTTTAAGTTGTTTTTGGAGCACATACTTTTTCACTTTTACTTGAGTAAAGAGGTCAAGTTGATACTTTAACTTTTAGCAGAGTGTTTTTAAACTGCAGTATCTATGCTTCTACTTAAGTAACAAATGTGTGTACTTTTTACACCACTGGTAATACCATGGTCACTGGACCTTGTAGGTTAACTATGGACATCGGAAAAAAAACAAAAAAACACCAGCAGATGACAAGGCATCCCAAACCATCACACATTTTGGGAACTTCCGACAAATTCTTGCGTGATGATTTTCTTGGAGCTGCTTTTTAAGGGTGTTCCGTGTTCACTCTTTATTTTCGATATGATACCGATATCGCGGCTTTGACAAGCGGCCGATACTGATCCTGATACAATATCAGCTCAAATCATATTGACTTTTATTACCCTTTTTATACAGTCGAATGTAAAAAAAAGTTTGATCAAGTAATATTACTACAACGGAAGCAGAGTGTCTCTATCACCATGAAAATATTGGAGATTTTAGATGCTGGACAATAAAATACAATGCAGGTTTTTTGCTAATTTTGGACAGATCTCTGAATATATCTGCTCATCATGACACCCACCTGCTTTTATCCCTGTCGCTAGGGCACCTTTTCCTACCAGTCTTCTCCCTTCACTCGAATTTAAATAAATAATGAAATGAATTCCATGATAATCCATGGATGTCAGTGATTCTCTCTTGGATATCTGTTGAGTCTACAGTCTTGTCCGTGATCATGTTACCAAGGCTACATATAGAGGTTTGGGAAGCATTTTCAGGTGTTTTGATGAAGGTGTGACATTAGTAGTTTCCAATACTTAAGCTTTTCACAAAATGAACCTTTTCCTCCAACAGAACTCTTGTCTTTTAATTTAGCTGTAAACCATAATCATTGAAATCACAAGAATTAAAGGTTAAAATACTTTTCTTGAATCTAAATGATATATGGTTTTCTCTTTCTGAAACAGATGAAAAAAATGAGTCAAGATTTGTATTATATTCATATTTTTTTACAGGTACCTGTATGTATGCATTATGGCTGCTCAATATGGCCAAAACTTATAAAGTGATTTTCAATATAAATATAAGCAAAATAAAAATCTTTGAGAAACTGAAGAACAACCGTGACAGATGTCCATACAAAATTATAACCATATTTTATAAAAATTCTTTAATGTAGCATTTTAGAGATATTTTTCTTTAAAAAAAAATAAAACACATTAAACTACATATAAACCCAGAACGTCAGTCAGTGACAAATGCTGTAATCATAAATATATAGAAATATCGGTAACTTCATATCCATCCTTCCATATACCATCACACTTTATCCCAGCTAGGGTCAACTTCATATCATTGTTATGAATTGAAATTATATCAGGAAATATATTGATAATGAGTTATTGTCCAGCCTTAGTAAGCAACAATATTTTAGGGTAGACAAGAAGAGGATGAGATATTTTAAAAACAGCATAAGTGCAGCTGAGAAGAGCAATTATGTATTTTTTGATCAGTTAACTGATTGGCTGATATTGTTGTTGGTGGCTACTCATTTACTAATTTATTTCCATCATGCTGCCAAAGCTGTGGATCTGTTTGTGTGTTCATGTATGTTGTTAAGTAAGGGGCACATAAAACACACCAAGGGCAAATGATGAGCTTTATTGGGTCAATCGGTCTTGCATAACAAAGGAAATAATATACTCATCCTGGATGGTGATGGGTAGAGCAACCTTGAAGGAAGTTAATCTGTGATGCATGTGATATGATCAGGGACGTGCAGAGACCGTTGGAGGGGCGGGTGCTCAAAGTTAAAAGAGGGCACATGGGGCACGGATTTAAAACATTATACAGAAACATACCTTGCTGTACAACTGGTTGAAATGTACCAACCCATACTATAAATAATGGAACGTAGAATCAAAATACACCCTATCACACATACTCACATATTTGTTTGAGGTCAGTGCAAAGCGAAATGAGTGTGTTTTACCTCATGAAACAGCTTCTGTTGAGGGGGTTGGTGCTTCTGTGTTGCTTGAGTTGGGCTGTATTAATCTGATGGTACAGACACTAAAAAGAGCATGGGAGAGATAGCAGCTGATTAAACAAGTGGTGTGTGTTCATGCAAGATGCAAAGATAACTAACATTTAAAATGGCTCACTCTGACTGACCTGCCACACTGCTGAATTGCTAGAGTCTGTTGCCAAGGCTGACTGCTTAAAAACCAGTTGCTCATTCAAAGCCACAAACACAAACAATACTTCAAGTTTAAAGGTTTCAACCTGTATTTATTAACAAACATATATTCACATTGTATAAGTAACTGTAACTGAAAGGGTAACATTATTCGTGGGAGAAAGACAATAGAGAGAAGGTGGCTCTGTCTTTCTGTCAGTTTCTGTCAGAGTCTGTGCCTTAGTTTTTTTTTTTGTTTTTTTTTTTATTAACAATGTAACAGAACAACATTGAAAATTTGTTTGTTACTGTTGTTTTCTCTAACTGAATATGGCTATAAATAACTGGTGCATGTGTTGATCTTACCTTTTGTGCTCTTTGTCATCCAGCTGGTGAGTGATCCACTGCCTTTTGCAGCCTCACACAGCTCCTTTTGTTTTTGTTTCAACCTCCTCTCCTTACAAGGCATCTCTGCAAAATGAAATAAGATACTTAAACTACAATCTGATCCACATAAAACACACATACAAACAAAAATTGACATTGCATACCTTTTTAAAAAAAATTGTACTGCATAGCCACAAGTTTAACCCATTAATATTTTGCCCTTTATTATTCCTAATGCTATAAAATAAAAATTTATTAAATGATATAGAAATAACTTTTTTAAATGTTTTTTTGCTTTTATTTAGTTTGACTATTAAGTTTGCGCATGACAGCAAGGGTCCAAAAGTTATACAATTTTTCTGTATGCATATTAGCCTATATGGGCATATTTATTTTTTTGTGTAAATAAAGGAGAGGTTTAGAAATTCAAAACTCTAATTATTTTTGTTTTGTAATGGTCCAAAATGATGTGAATATGCATACTGCACAGTTTTAGTGAAATAAAACAGGAAGAAAACACACCTGCTTGAGAGTAAGATACATATCTCTCTGCAGTAACAACAACAGAAACCTGACGTACTTCCTCCCCATAGCACGCTGTGCGTGTGTGGTGGTCAATTAGATAGCGGCAGGGATGCAACTACCTACCTACATTCTGGGGCAATGAAAGTATTATCAAAGCATTTAAAAATGACTGGCGGGATCATTTTACCATGATCGTTTCTGCGCCTCCTCCAGTACCGGTGCCCTATAGTGCATACCCAGTTTTTGCGCCGCTGGCTAGGGCTATAACTTGTGAGAGGTGTGTGCAAATTGCACACAGCAGAGAGGATGCTCATTGCTTACTTTACTCGGTCAGTCTACTCATCTTGCAACAATAAACCTTGCACAAACTAACACCACTGCAGCACCTACTTACCTGACCAGTTGTTTACTTTTTCTGGAGTCGCAGTGGTTATCCGCAGCAGCAGGGCACGTCACGGTAGTAAGGTTAGCTTGAGGGCACGTTGTGTGAAGCTGACGCGGCCGGTCACATGATCCAGTATATCATGTGACCTGCCACGGTTACCATGGAACAGTAGATCTAAATTATAATTGTTTTGGACATGCACAAACACACAAATACACACGCACACACACACGCAAAAAAAATAAATAAAAAAAATAATGATAATAATAATAATAATAAACCCTACAAAAGGGCACTTTGAGAATCAGGGACAAAGGGGCAGGTGCTCAAGCACCCTCCGCCCCCCCCTCTGCACGTCCCTGGATATGATGAAGCCCCAGAGTAATACAGATTTTACAGCTTTATCTTTAACTATCATCTATAATTTAACAAAAAAAAATGAAGGGCATCAGTGTGTAAATAAGATATAGACATACTTGGTTGTATGATCATTTTTGTGCACAGAAAGTTAAATTTTTTATAAATTGTGTAGATGTGGAGGTGATTAATGTAGAAATACTATTGATTGCTTTGAGCCAGCCCTGTGTTTATGAACTATAGAGGCTGAGTCAACAGTATAACCACAGCAACTGTATCAGCACCAAGAGGCCAAAAAGTTGCAGACACAGTGCTTTAAGTTAACGACTTATACTTAAGTGAAATAATGTTTATGGGGCAGCTGAGGATCATTCTTTTGAATTTTTGTGTCATAATATCTACAGATGCAACTGTTTATGTGTTTTGTTGTTTTCTGCAGATTGTACATCGAATTAGAGGCTGATATCTAGCAGTAAATCTTACTGAACACTTTGTTTTGCCTTTTTCTTGCTTTCTAGAAAGAGACCAGAGGCCAGTTCCTGTTGGACCATGTGTGTAATCATTATAACCTGCTGGAGAGGGACTACTTCGGTATTCGATACGTAGATCCTGATAAGCAAAGGGTAATTATCCGAACACAGAAGCACACAACCAAAACCACAAACTTTTTAAAGTATCTTTATTATTTATCACTGATAATTTGTCTCTCCCATCATTAAGTCAGGTTTGGGTATAACTGTTGTGAAAAAGAAAAATAAAAATTTTATGTGAGCAAATGTTAAGAAATCATGTTCTTTATTAAGCTGTTAAACAAGTTTAGTAGGTACCCCTGTGAGGAACTCTAAGCTATCCACTGAGCTTCAGGGATCTGTCAAATGCAAAAGAAAAAATTTGTTAAAATGTAAATTTGCAATGTCCAATAATTCTTACAATTACACCTTTTAAAAGGCTTGTAAACATTGCAAATGAATGGGTTCAGGCATTTAGCAGATGTGTGGAAGATTCAGTTAAACTTCACTCAATTCAACCCAGTTTTCTTTTATAGTAGTTATTCCCAGTCAGTGTCATTTAGGTGCAGCTTGAATGCTTCCACTAGGTCAGGGTTCTGCAACCTGCTGCTCCGGAGCCACATGTGGCTCTTTGGGGCCTCTATGATGGCTCTTTATAGTGGCTAAAAATTATATAAAGAACTAACTAATGCACTATAATAATAAATGCCAATTTTAGAAGCTTTAGTGATTTTTATAAATAATAATTGAATTGAATTATCACAACAGAATGACATGATGTTATTTAGTTTGAAAAAATATTGGCTATATCATATAATTTTTCTTTTTACATCAAATATTACGCTATAGAAGAAAATTCATGCTTCATCTTCATTAATCGTTATATGTTTTTTCCTTATTTTAAGCTACAAATAGAAACAAACTGTTGGTTGTTTAAGATGGCAACAGATTAACTATGGCAGATATTTTGTATGTATGTAGTATGTAATATTATGCGGCTCTAAATGACTTTTGCTTAGCCAGATCAAAAGCAAAATGGCTCTTCAATTATGAAAGGCTGGAGACCCATGTACTAGGTCAAACCTGGAAACAGATTTTCCCTAGAGGAACCTTGCACAACAAATTAAATTCAAATCAACTGTATCCAACTGGCAAACTATGATGGCATCTTCCACACAAGACTGACCTTTGCTGAATTTCTTCCCTCTCTTTCTCTAACCCCTTCCCTATCAGACCACAAAACAACATGCAATTTGACTGGAATTAAATAAAGTTTCTTTCAATTCTCCTTTTTTATAGTTCTGTTTTGTTGTCTCATTGCTTATCAATGAGTTTAGAGTTTTAAACAATCAGTTTTGCTTGTTTTTCGACTAGATCTTACAGGACTGCCTCCTGCAGCCTCTGGCAATATTTTACCAGTATTAAGCAAATGAAATAGTCAGCTCCAAAATAGTCAGCTCAGGAACAAACAACTGCAAACAGAATAAAACTCACTGAGAGAAAATAGTTGAACTTATTCAGCTGCGCTCTGCTAGATGTTACTCAGGCAGCAGTGAGTGCATTACAGACTGAAGTGACAAATAATCAAGATCACTCTCCATATTTCAAACATCCCACACGAACAGACGACACCAGATGCTTCATTTACTGTAGCTAGACTGAATTTACAGTGAGCAAAACGCATCAGTTTTTCAGAGTGAAAATATTGTTGGAAAGTACACAACTAAATCGACCAAAAATAGGACAAAATGAAAAATAAAAAAATTCAGCAGATCTTCCTAAACTTGACATTTTATATTCAGAGGAAAGATGCAACAGAAGTAATGTGAACCTGTGTAAGGAAGTTGAAAATACACCTAAAACTCAAGTTAAATCTGGTCTGTTAAATACAAATTTCCCATTGTGATGTAAATAAGCTTTATTCTCTTCTTTTCTCGCTTTGTTTTAAGTTTACTGATCTAATGTAACAAAAAAATGGAGGGGAATGGGGGGGGGGGTCATTTTACACAGTAGCTTGATTCTGAAGAAAATATTTCTTTTTAGGCTCTATCTGTTCAGAAAGCAGCCTTGGGAAAAATCTCACCTCATAGATGGATATCTGAATAAAGCAAACACATTGAGGAGTTCTTAATTCATGTAATTTATACAGGAAGTGTATAGAAAAAAAGTGATTTTTCATGCTGCTGTTATGGAGTATGTATGAGCAAAACCTTTATTTTGTGTGTAATACTGCAACAAAAAAAAACATAAATAAACAGAAATGGATTTAAAATGACAACAAAATCAAATAATTGGGAAAAATGGAAATTAAATATGATTTTTCAGTGTAATCTTTGAACCTTTGCTGAAATCCAGCTTCTCTGATTTCAACATGTAACACTTTGTTCAATATCATTGCTGTTAACATTGAACAAAAAATTTATTCATCAGGATAAAAGACCTTAATACATGATTTTTTTTTCTTACAGTGTCCTGTCTGGCTATGTGGCAATAAGAATAATTGTCCTGATGCCAAAAAGAGCCCAACAGATTTTGCTTTCACAAGTGGAGCAATACGGCTATCACCATAGTGTTCCGCTTGATTTATGCATATAAATAGCTTTAATATAATTCATGCAGGGAGTATTACAGATTATATGGACACTACAATTTAACAGGAAAGGAAAATCAGAAAAAAAGGAGAAAAGATGAAAGAAAGAGGAGATAAAAGGGAGATAACGTTAAAAAAAACTTCAGTCTGCTTCATCACCTGCAAAGAGATGTAATAAGAACAACACAACCAACGTGACATGATCTTTAACACAGGTTTAACTAGGAAACTTTATTTTAGATATTAAATAAGCACACAGTAATTTAAGGATGGTAATTTCGCTTCTATTTGCCTTGTCATTTTTTAAGGTTTCCTTTTTTTATTTTCATTCATGTCCTATTTTTCTCTCTTTCAGCATTGGCTGGAGCCCAATAAGCCTGTGGTGAAGCAAATGAAGTGTAAGTGTCCCTTCTGCTCACCTTGTTGCATTAGTCTCTCTGCAAAAGCATCAGTAAGCATACTACAGTGTCCGTCATAATGATTGGCATCCTTGGTAAAAAAAAATGTTTAAAAACATATAAATCAGCAGCATTTAAAAACCTGCATTTCTCCTAAAGAGATCTTTGGAGACCTTCCACTTACAACATCTCATTGTTTGCAGAACCAAGTTCAATGAAAGATCAAATGGGTCATCATCTCAACAGCGTATGAACATTTCCGTACATTTTGTGCCTTTATATTATAGATGTTCCTCCCTGGAGCTATAATTACTTATTGGACACTGACTGTTGATCCAAACAGAGCTCATTAAACACTTTTCTTAATCAAAGCCCTCTGTCTCTGGATAGTGTTTTCAGATGTCCAAAAAAGCAATCTTCCAGGGCGTTTGTCATAGCTACAGTTCTTTAATAGTTTCTAATATTTGATCTTACAACTCTATTGGAAATTTCAAGAAATTATTTACATTTTTCATGAAGAAGTGCTTCCTGTAAAGGTCTGCATAATATTTAAAGTTTGAAGAGAGTATGATTTTACTCTAATGGAAGTTAACCACATTAATGGTTGTTGACAACAGCCAAGCAGACTGCAATATTATCTATGCCAGCAATTATTAGCATTTGCTATTGTTTTATCCTCCTTTTGGACTGATGGCAGTTTGCCAGCACCACTCTGAACCCCACTCTCTGTTTGCCATTACAAAGGCAACTTTACAGATGAGAATACCGGTAAATGTAATTTTCTGAGTAAGCATAGGCTGGTCTTAAATTATCCACCATGTTTTGCTTCAGTCGAAAGTCTTTTTCTTTTCTTTTTTGTCTCAATGAACAGATCAGCAGATACTGTATCTGAAGGTCTTTTATAGATTTTACTGAAACCTGTGGCCTTGACATTGATTCTTATAAGCAATAATTATCAGACTATCATTCCTGTTTTAGGCCAGTCTAGATTATTTTGAAGAGAATTATGAACCTCAACATGGCTCAAAATGCATGGTGCTAGGTGAGGTTTTCAGATAAAATTGTGATTTATCAGCGTTTGGTAATGTCTAGAACAGCTTCACAGTCTTTAACAAGGGACAGTCTCTGAGTCACAGGTGCTACGTGCACTGGATGCTCCTTATGTTTGTCACAACAAGCTCAAATGTAGGTCAAACTCAGGCCTGACTGGGTATACTGGTGTCATGGTACTTCAGTCAGACTATGCTCAAAAGAAAGACTGTCTTTATGTCCCAACAAAGAAAATGTTTTGGAGTAACTCCCCGCCAAAACAATAAAAAAGAACAATAACAAAGCAAAAGAAAATTGTGGCAAAGAGGGCTGAAACTGTCCCAAAGGTGCTACTACTTGTAGTTGTTGTCTAGCGGCTTATCTGGGAACGGATCACACAGGCAGCAGTCTCAGCAGACACTCCCAGATTTCCCTCTCCACAGATAACTCTAGCTCATCCAGTCGAGAGACATAGTCCGTCATCCTCTAGGCCTCCTCCCGTAGTGATGTGCCCTCGAACACCCCCCGGGGGAAGGGCCTAGGGTGTATCCAATAAAGATGTCCGAACCTCCTCAGTAGACTCCTCTCTATGCGGAGGAGACGCAGCTCTATGTTGAGCCCCTCCTGAATGACTGAGCTCCTGTCTCTAATGGTGAGCCAAGCCACCCTGCATGGAAAGCTCATTTCAGGCGCTTGTATCCAGGATCTCATTCTTTTGGTCATTATCTAGATCTGATGACCATAAGTGAGGGTGCGTATGTAGACTGACTGGTTAACCTGAAAGATCACTCAGTCAGGAAGAGGCCCATATTTCAAAAGTAGAAAGTTAAGTTTACAAATGTACCTCAAGACAAGGACTCAGATTTTTCATAAATGTATTATATTTTATTAAACTAAAACAATCTGGGCGCCAAGATGATCACAGCTACAGATTTGAATAAAAAAGAGGGATGCCTGCATCCTTTAAACCTAACCATTCCAGCTTTAATGCACGGGGTTGGCAGCATAATGCTTTGTGTGTTATTTTCAAATGGGGGGAACTAGTGCACTCCACAAACCAGTTTAAAGGAAGAGCAAATTACATGACTTCAGAATATTAAAGCAACACCTTAAATATTAGTTTAAGAAGTTGTATAATCACAGTGATTATACAGCAAAATTAGTGACAAAGTGGCTAAAAGACACAAGTCCAGATAGGAGCGGCCACCATAAAGCCATAACCTCAGTAATTCGCAGGAATAGGTAAAAAAGTGAATAAAATCCTTTGTCTGATTTTCTATTCGTTTTGGGTCTTTCTAACTTAGGTACATGTAAATGTTTTGTTTCTGTTGTATATCTGAACACATTAGTAATAGAACATTTTTGATGTTTCAAAAATTGCCACTTTATGTCAATTTAAAAAAAAAAAAGAATCTATTTATTCAGCTTTTTTATGTAGTTGTATTGTATTGTAAGTTACACAAGTCTATTAAATTTCATTTAATGTATCTTTTTTAATTTCTTTAATTTGGGGAAAAAAATGTTTGACATTAATGTTTTTAAAGTTTTATTGTAAATCTGTATTTATTGACAATCAATTTATTTTGTCATTTTGTACACACTCTAGACTTTTTAATTTTTTTAATGTGCAGCCTTGATAAAGGTAAGCAGCAGTGATACAAAAATACTATGATGAAAAAAAAACACTGTGATGAAAAAAAGTGATGTAAACATGTGACTGTATAGTTACAGTTACAACATTCAGTTTTTTTTTGTTTTTTTTTATTGAACAGTTCTGTACTGCAGCAAGTTTTGGGATATATATATTATTATTTTTTCAAAGGACAGAAAAAAAAATCAGGGGATAAAAATCTACTTTACCTTCATAAAAAATGTAGCCAAAATCCACTTTGGGGGTTTTGAGATCTTTGTGAGTTTTAATGTTGCCTGGCATGTATGTTTTTATTCAACGGTTTCTTCCTGTGCTCTCATAATTCTCCATCTAGTCTAGATGTTTCCTCCATTTCTTTCATTTCCTCTATTCCTGCATCCTCACATTACTATCTGAAGTTCACTCACTCTTTAATGATTGTGCTGTTCTTTCTGTACTGTTATGAATTAGTAAAAGAGCTAATGGCTGCATAATCTCCCTTAGAGTAAATGCAAGGCTGAGGCTATTTGCTGAAAACTGGAATTACGGGGTAATAAATATGTCATGGACAAGAGTTATAAAAGCAGAATATTCCAGAGCTAATTCAAACTAATTGAGCGACGCTTGTTGATAATGAGGCTAAAAGAGGAAAGCCAGATTAATCAGGAGCATAGCTGAAATTGTGGAGTTTGAGATGAGAAAAGCTGACGGAGAATGGAAGAAAGGAAAAAAATAAAGAAGAGGATGGAGGAAGAGCATTGAATAGATTTGATTTGAAATGACACATCATCTCTGCCGCTGGCAGGCTTTTTTCCCAACCAAATTAGATTTTTGCGTCTTGTGTTTTTGGGACTTTTTTTTGGCTCTCAGCTTACGCACATCAGTAGATTTTACATTTACACGGCGTTTGCACCAGCAGCCTTTCTCAAGAAGGTTTTCAGAGACACTGTTGCCATCCCTTAAGCTTTAGCAAATAAGCAGCTCCAGTTGTTTTGGAGCTGGTGGGAGGATGCATTTTTCACGTTGCTCAGCATGTATTATGTAGATGTGTTTTTTTTTTTATTTTTTTATTTCATGGCTAGATAATACCACAGGGGCTCCTGCTCTTAAAGGAATAGTACACCCAAAACATGATTAGCCTTCATTTTCTACTCACCTCCATGCTGAACAACACTCTGGAGTACTTTTTTGATATCTCAAATGCATCTGGAGATCTGGGAGGCTTCTTGCTGTCTGCTGACATTCAAATAATGGAGGTCCATGGCGCCTGAGACAGAAAGGTCCATAAAAGTCCACAAAAAACGTGTCAATATTCCTCCATACTGCTCGTCCAATGTAATCCAAGTGTCCTGAGTGGGTAGCATCCAGAATTTACTCGAAACGAAGTCATTTAGAATGTTTTTAGAGCATAAACAGTAGTGTATAGGATTTCCTAATAGCGCCCCCATGCGCGCTCACGATTCTACGGAAGCCGGCAGACCAAACCGGAAGAAAGTGCGCATTCAGCGTCTGGTCTGCCGATAATGCAAGCGTAGAAGAAGAAATGTGCTGTTTACCTGTGCAAAGAAAGAAACAAACGAAAGAAAAATGTCTGAGGACTTCAGTGTTGAGGAAGAGCATGAGTTCTTTGCCGAGCTGAATGCGCTGGTTTGGTCTGCCGGCTTCCGTAGAATCGTGAGCGCGCATGGGGGCGCTATTAGGAAATCCTATACACTACACTGCAAAAACAATCCAGAAATAAGTAAAAAATGGCTTAAATTAAGTATATTTAGCCTTAATTTGAGCAGGTAAATAAGATGATTTGCCAATGGAATGAGTATTTTCACTCTTAAAATAAGATAGTTAGATAATATTTACTTGAAATAAGACGATAAAATAGTTTTTTCTTATTTTAAAAGGAAATTGTCTTGTTCCATTGGCAAAGTGTCTTACTTACCTCCTCAAATCAAGGAAAAACACACTTATTTTAAGAAAAAATAACTTATTGAGATTTATATTTTATGCAGTGTACTGTTTAGGCTCTAAAACGTTCTAAATGACTTCGTTTCGAGTAAATTCTGGATGCTACCCACTCAGGACACTTGGATTACATTGGACGAGCAGTATGGAGGAATATTGACAAGTTTTTGTGGACTTTTGTGGACCTTTCTGTCTCGGGCGCCATAGACCTCCATTATTTGAATGTCAGCAGACAGCAAGAAGCCTCCCAGATCTCCAGATGCATTTGAGATATCAAAAAAGTACTCCAGAGTTTTGTTCAGCATTGGGGTGAGTAGAAAATGAAGGCTAATCATGTTTTGGGTGTACTATTCCTTTAAAGGCAGGCTGGAGGGGGGGAGCACTGAGAAGATTACTGGTTAGAGAATATTATTTCTTCTCCTCTAACACTCCTCTTCAAACACTCCATTTTAGAAATTTTAATCTTCAAGGCCCCTACATTTCTGACCAATCTTTATAAAAGTAAACAAATAAGTGAAAACGAAAGTAATCCCACACATATAAACTGGAATATGCATTCTGATTAGGCTCTTTTTTTTGTTTAAATAACTTTTAAGCAGCTATTTAACCTAATTTTTATTAAGTACACTTTTATGTATTAAAACTACTGTTGCTTTGAAGTAATATGCTAATGTTAAATCTTCTACTTTTATAAACTGTAAGCAGAATATCATCACGATTAATTGAAATAAAGAATTGAAACCATCTGTGTGTGATTAGTATATAAGAGGCATTATACTTTGTGATTTCAGTTATTGAAATAAATGAATTATTGAACAATAGTTCAGCAATTCTTCCTGTGTATCTTCTTTTTCTTCAGCAGCTCAGCAGCCATACACCATGTGCTTCCGCGTCAAGTTCTACCCCCATGAGCCAATGAAAATTAAGGAGGAGCTCACCAGGTAAAAAAATGACAGATAAAGATGATTTATTCATGTGCAAATATTTCATTTTTTTTCCATAAAATTATTTGATTGGAGCAGATGCTATTTGCATTGATAAAATTAAATCAGGTTTGCACTTAAATTACATGCAATACAGTAAAAATGATATGTCCCAAAAGCGTTTCATTCAGGCTTATAAGCAGAAAAGGCGAAGATGAAATAAAAGCATCCAAAACTTGCACAAGGAAAACTATGATAAGAATATAAGACTACATGGTAAACGTCACTTTACAACACAAAATACTGTACGGTTGTTAAAAATAACATTAGAAAAATGTGCAACATATGTCAAGATGTAAATTCAGATGTGTATGTATGAGCTAAACAAGTACAAAATTGACTCAGTTAAATAAATAAAAACGTTATTGTGCAAATAAAATGTTGAGGCAACACTTCATTTGCTGGGGAAACCAGTAAATGTTTGGTTGAATACAATATGCCAGAACCATGTAGTGACTCTATAGGAGAAATTCCTAACTTGACATTCAATCTTAAAAAACTGACAACATGTACTGATACACACCTTCTTTGGTGTAGATTCTCAGTAACCCAGGGAATCCATACGTGATTATTGCTTTTTCATGCATTTAATTATTTTGTGAAAGAAACACACAAAGAAAAAGAAGAGCAGGTGACTTCTGTGCACCTAAGACCTGCTCACCAGCAATATGGCTATAAGAGACGAAAGGGATGATGTTCACCACCACATTTTTTCATTTTTCTACTGCTCCTGAGGCCCAACAACATTTTCTTCAGCCTAATAACCGAGTATTTAATGCAGCTCTGTAATAATCACCTAGTTATTTTTCTTCCTTTCAACAATATATAGACAGCTCTGACCATAAAGGAGTATTTGCTTATGTCACATAGCATTAATGGGAGGGACAGTGGCAGATATATCATGGGAACACCAAGCAGGTATTTTCCAAATTAGTACTGAAGATTTTAACGTAATATTAAAGCTCTTCAGATGCAACAATCTGATGCCTTATTTATTTTTATGATAATATATCAACACAGCCAATAGATAAATAACAATAGACCTTTAGTCTTTTTTTCTCCTTTCAGTCTATAATGAATTCCTTCTGCCACTTGTTACAACCCAAGCTGAATTGGTCTGATATACATTTCACTAGTTGATGTGATCTCTCTTGGAAGCTCATCCGCATCCATAGCAACAAGTGTCCCCAGATCTAGAACCAATGTTTTTTTTGTGTTTTTTTTTTTTTGTCTGGGAAAACCAGACAAATCAGCACGTTAGCAGCACGGACATGTCTGCAGTGAAGCTGTTTCTATAGTAACCACAGCACCGATCTGCTGTATGGTTAGTGTCGCAAAGGGAGCAAATGCTTCTGTTTAAATAATCGTTTAAAAGGATAATTTCTTTCACTGTTTACGGATTCAAAGCAGTCAATAATCTACCTTTCAGGGACAGCTAAGCTATGCTTAAATTAAAGCATATATTTATTTATTTTAAGTGGATATGTGTTTGTCTGTATTCTGCCAGATACCTCCTGTACCTCCAGCTGAAGAGAGACATTTACCACGGCCGCCTCCTGTGTCCCTTTGCTGAGGCTGCATATTTGGGAGCCTGCATCATACAGGGTAAGGATCGGTTCAGAGCAACAGGAAGACTGTATGATGTTGGCTACATATATCGACAACCAAGTGTAAAGAGGTTTACAAAGGTTTCAAAATAGATTTGTTTTCAATAGCATGTTCTTGAACAGGAGATAGAGATAAAATCTTTAACTTGAGAACATCCTAAGAAACATCTTACACCAAGGAAAACCCTCATTTTACAGCAAAACAGCTGTTAAAATGGCAGATTTTGCTGTTTGAACAGCATTTAGTTTTCTTCTACAGCTCCTCTATTCAGCTCCCTTAACAAGTTTACTATAAGATTGCAGTCTTGGAACTGATTGTCAAGGAGGAAAACAATCAGCTCTTGTAACAATATGTATGTTCAACCATCTGTGTTGGTCTTGGCTCCATGTTTATGATTATTTAAGTGCTGAAAGATCCTGGAATTACCCATTTTCACATTTCTGGAAGAAAAAAAAAAGTTTTATTTAAACTTTTCTGCTAGTAGTTCGTGGCGCTTTATACTGTTATAAGATTGTCACTAAGTTTGTTTTGTTTGTTTTTTTAAATCCCAATTTTCACTTGAGAGTTTAAGTTTACCAACAATATATTTTCCTACTTAAAGGTATAGTGGAGGATTTTCACAAGTTTTTGAAAAACCCGCCCTCTATATTAAAAAAAAAAAAAAAAGAATGCACATGAACAACCCAGTGCAAGAGCATGCACAAGCCCATTTCTCTGAATGACTGAATTACATCATTACTTTTTGATAATGTAGAGAAAACGTACATTGACAACTGGTGGACCCACCAGTCATTGAAGAACAGGTTGCCATTGGGTTGACAGGAAAAGGATTTTAATACAATACATGAAAATAGAAACAGAAATAATTCTTCAAATACGAAAGCTAACGTTCTCTCTGAAATAAAGTGTAGTGAAAAACTTTGGGGTAAGCTGAAGAGAGGGCAAGAGTGGTTCCATATTGTTTTCCTGCTGAATCCCTTTAATAAAAAAAAAACAAAAAAAAAAAAACTTTTTATTCATCAGATTTGGTTTGGGAATTTGAAAATGTATCTCTAAATATAAACTAAAAAGATGCCGTAAATTTCTGCATTTTGTTGTTAGCTTTGTCAGCATTTAAAACGGTTTTTAATCTAAACTCTAAAAATGTATTATATGTCATATAAGATATTATGCTGTACTTAAAAAAGTCGCTCCTAGCCAACAACATTTTTGTTGTCTGAATTCATAACTAAAATGATGCCACCTTATATTAGAAGATAAATTGTATTCCTGACTATTGAAGCATTTGGCTCATTTTTCTGGGTTCTTGCTCATTAACGAGCTAGAATTAACATTATAAGAATTATCTTATAGTGCCACATTTTTATGACACCAAGAAATCTATGTAAACCTCTGGGAAAATGGATTAAAATAGATTTTTTTTTCATTCTCTTAATTAACACTTACAGATAAACGTCATATCACAGTCGCTTCACTGTGGATTAGGAAGCTCAGCCGTATCAATGAAGCCCCCTGGCTGATGCTCACATCTCTGAGCTGTGCTAACAGCCTCTCACTGGCTTGTGTCCTAGGAGAGAAGAGTGTGACTCGCCCAGTTATCTCAAGCCAAAGCGTGTCTGCAGCGTATCATTGGCTGCTCTGATTAATGAGGACAGGTCCCCATCCCACTTAGTCAAAATGTTGCTTAGGGGAGATGGAGAATATGATTATTGTTTAATTAAACTCTTTGTAGTTTTTTTCATTTAACCTTTGCTATGGTTATTAATCAAAAATGGGTCCAGAATTAAGTGTAGGTCAGAGGGATTTGTTCTTAATCCAATCATTTCCTTCATCTGAATCAGCTGCACTTCTGTCACATTGTCTATGAAAATAAATGTTTAGCAAAAACAAAAGAAGCACAACTGTAATACTAGCTTAATTGGCAAATAACTATTTGTTTATTTAAGCAATGTGTTCACGCGACAGTGGCGTTGGATGTAGGAGTTTGCCCTGAAATCGAAGGGTTGACGGTTCAAGCCCTGACTCCGACTTTCAGTGTCGTTGTGCATTCACCTGCATTGTCTACTGATGGTGGTCAGAGGGCCCGGTGGCGCCAGTGTACGGCAGCCCCGCTTCTGTCAGTGAGCCCCAGGGCAGCTGTGGCTACAATGTAGCTTGCCACCATCAGTGTGTGAGTGTGTGTGTGAATGGGTGAATGAATGTAGTGTAAAGCGCTTTGGTCAAGTCTCCTGACTTGAATAAAGGCGCTATATAAGTACATGCCATTTACCATTATTTCACTTTCTCTCACTCAGATTAGACTACCATAATTTTAACCTGCAGCAGATTGAACTGAAAGATCCTTAAACAAAAAATCCTGAACTAAACCTTTTTTGTTTATCTAAATAACACACACTGACACAAACAAATGCACATGATGATCTGCTGAGTGAACCTGCTTCTTCTTTCCTGTATCTAAACGTTGGTGCCTCATTCAGTGGGATTGATTTACTACAATGGAAATAAAGAAACATTAAAACTCATTTTTAAATTCCCTGATTTAAATAACAGTAACCGCTCACGGTGAGCGGTTACTGTTATTTATTTGGGTGAGCGGCTCACCACTCAAATAATTTTAACTTCTGCACAAAAGTTTCACATAACCAAATTTCTATTTAAAGCACATCTTATGCTCCACATGCTTGCAAGTACAGTATAGTCATTTTAAAGTGCAGGCCTTATTGTATTTGGTGAAAATCACCTTAACACATTGACTGTTACACAACTTAAACCATAGCACTTTTAATTTGTATTTTTTTCTCTTTTAGAAATAAATATACTTTCTAGATGCCACTTGTGGTTCATGAATTATATAGCGTGCTCGTGCCAATTGCTGCACTTGTTCCTATCTTTGACAACATATGAGCAAAAGTTCATATCAATAGGATGAGTTATGTTGATGCAATGGGTCTTTTTGTGTGGCTTTGCTGACCAGTGTATCATGTCTTTATATTTATTATTTTTATTTGCTGAAGGGAAAAATTTAGCAAATAAAAAAAAGTATAACAGTTTAACTTTGCTTTTACTTTTATTAAATCTTAAGTACAGAATGCAGTTTGAGAATCAAATGTTGCTATAAAATGAATTTTGTCCATATTTTATATTAAGATTTTTACACCTTTTCTACGTTTTATCCAGAAGCAGATTTATTTTACCTATTTATTTTGACTTATGCAGAATATAAGTCGCAGTAAAGTAAAAAAAAAAAAAAAATTCTATGAATGTAATCTTTTCCTGTAGTTTTAGCATGTGTGTATGGATATTTTATGTAAACGTCTTGATTTGCAAAGCATGCTGACATTCTTAAAAGCCTTGTGACTCATTGTTTTGTACACTGTTATAAACCCTTGTTTGATTCTTTTTATATAGTGTTGTCACTTAACGTGATAATTTAGTTGCAGCTTGTTTTTCAAAGTGCAACAATGTAATAAATATGATAGTCTGATTTCGCCTGGGAAACAGTGGTACAGGCAGCATAACAAAGAGAAGCTGAATGTCTCCCTGGAGTTTAAGCCTGATTCATAAAGGGTAAAGATTAAAAAAGGCAAAGTAAGAGAAACGTATGGACTATTTGTCTATTTAAGTCAATACTATTTCGAAATAAATTATAGAAATTATTTTATCCTTATTCCAATATACTTTATTTTGTATTATTTGAGGACTTTTCAGACACATTTTGAGGGAATATTTCAATATATAATTTAATATATCATTAAATTCATCAGGCATCTGTTATTTTCTCCTGACCTGCAGCAAAAATTCAAGCAATGTAATCATTCACTTATTTATTCTTTTATAAGTTTATATTCTATAATCACAATTTGTTTATCCCACAATGTTTTATATAAAGCCAAATATGAAAGTAGCTCATATCCAGCTGTGGAGTGTAATGTCTCAAGTACAAAACCCTGGGGAACTCCTTGGTCAATTCTGAGGTGTATGGACCTCATTCAATGTCTTTATAGATTTTGACAGATATGTTACTAAAACCAGCCTAATGCAGTTCTTTAAATACCTGCTACAAATTTAGTGATTTATTATATCAAACACAGTACCTAGACTTTTATTCTGTGGTGCCTCTTCGAATGGCTCTAAATCCAGCGAACGAAGGAAAGATTAGACATGAAAGATGGGAGACTAGAAAAATATGTGCCTTTCCTCACTTTATTCCTTTACGATGATCCACTTTATCACATAAATACTGCTAGATGTCAGCATAACAGCATTAACAACCCCTTTCCTTTGCAGCTGAGCTCGGAGACTATGACCCAGAGGAGCATCCATCAGACTACATCAGAGACTTCAAGCTTTTCCCTAAACAGTCCCTCAAACTGGAGAGGAAGATTATGGAAATACACAAAAATGAGCTCAGGTAAAATAAAACATGATAGAGGATGTCTGATGGGGTTTTTTTCTGTCTGGAACATGGCCCATGGTTTTCTAGCTTAATTTTAATGAAGGCAGATGTTCTCTTCCATGATGCTTTAGAACAGGGTGGAAAAAATACACTGAGAACCAAGCCTGATTATAAGAGAAATTATATGATAGTTATTTGAGATGGTATTGGCATGAAAACTAGGTTAGTAATAATAACAAACTGATATACCTCATATATTGTTTTGGCGGTAGTCTCTTATGTAGTTGGATTCAAGAAAACCAACAATTAACTTGTCATGCATGTATTGAGTCTGAGTAGTAAATGCCCTTAAAAAAAGGCATTTAAAAAAATGTAAAAAAGGCTGTTATGCAAACTTTTCCACAGTGCTGCATGTTTATCATGTTTTTGGTTAATTTGACTTATGAAGCTCCTGTCCGTCACACTTGGGATGATTCCTGCAGATCAAAGGCAAATGCTTCATTTCCCACAAGTGCATTCTGTCTGAACCCTGACGGGTTCAACTGATAGGATTAACGGCGTGTTGATTAACTCTGAGCTATAAAGAGTTGAGGTGATTTCCACAGTCAATACATTTTGGAGGAGTCACAGCTTATGGGGACACATGGTAATGTTGAATTAAATGTGTACGGTCAAAGACAGGCTTCCCAAGGCCTCTGTCACACCAGACATGGATTGTGGCCCAATATTAAAAAGCAGTAAAAAATTAAATCTTTATTACTTAAAATTAACTGTAATTTAAATGTAGAACTGCATAAAAGATTCCCCATAAACTACTCTCAATCTGATAAGATGATAGCAATATAAATAAAGATGGCGTGTCCTCCTCTACAGCAATGCTGAAACTGAGTATGGAGGTATAAAAACTTCCAAAATATAAAGGAAATATGTACAGGCCATGAGGAAATATCTTCGTAAGGAAAAATCTCGATTGTAATTTTTCTATAGTACTACCAGAAAATAACAGGTATAAAACCAAATGTTTGGCATCATACTTACCTTCAGAGTAAAATTATCTTTGTCTTATTAACCTCCAACAATCTAGTAGATCCTTAACACTATCAGATTATCTTAGCCTGCTGTAAAGAGGATTGAGTCTTAAAAATATTTTTTAACTAAAGCCTCTATACTGAGGTTTACGGCTTCCTTAAAGCATTTTAGATTTATAAACAAATAATTTAGAACATAAATACAATACAAATAGAAAATACAATATGGGCATCTTTTAGCGACACTTTAGTTTTCTTTCTAAGCATTGTTTCATCTCCCTTAGGGGTCAATGTGCAGCGATGGCAGAGCTTAACATGCTCCAAAGGGCACACAGTCTGGAAACATATGGAGTCGACCCCCATCCATGCAAGGTAATTAATCTAGATCCCTCTATTAAATAACCTCCTACCCTTTGCCATATTTTATATATTTTACAATCAGGGTAATTGACCTATTAATTCCCAACGTTCCCCTCTGCTGTTTGTGCTTTCAGGACTTTACAGGCTCAACAGCCTTTCTGGGCTTCACAGCCACAGGGTTTGTGGTTTTCCAGGGAAACAAGAGGATTCACCTCCTCAAATGGTAAATATAATTGGTTTGGTGAAAATAATTACAATCAAACAGTTTTGTTCTTTTAATTCATTATTACAGCACAAAATACACAATTTCCCCCATATAACATTTTAGATAACATTGGACCACAATGACAGCTTAAGTCCTTTTACATCACAGGACTGTATTTATTCTTTCCAAAGGAAACATCTGGTATGAACTGTACCTTTATAATGTACTAAAAAGAGAGAACTACTTCTGATCCCTTTTCCTCTTTTCCTAGACAAGACATTTTTTTTCTTAAAATAAGTGCATTTGTTCTTAAATTGAGGAGTTAAAAGAGACATTTTGCAAATGGAACAAGAAAATTTACATTTAAAATAAGATAACGCTATTGCATTGTCTTATTTCAAGTGATTGTTATCTAATCATCTTATTTTAATAGTAAAAAGTTATTCCGTTGATATCTATCTCATTTAGGTATTCAAATTAAGAGTAAATACACTTAATTCAAGACATTTTTATGTATTTCTAGATAATTTTTCCAGTGTGATTGACACATGGTTTCACCAAACATCTAACAGATATTTGAAAGTTTTTTTTTATCCAATCCTTTATACTTTCTGCAAAAACTGCAAAAGAATTTTAAGAATTATGTAGGAGTTTGTACTCTTCTAAGCAAAACAATCATTATAATGACCCAGATTAAAGCAGGTCCAAGCTAGTTGGGGGGACTAGCTTGGTTATTTTTATTTCTTTTTTTTTTTGTCTTTGTTGAATCTAGAATTTTTTTTTCCTTCAAAATAAAATCTAAATTTAGTATTTCTTTGAATAATTAATGTAGAATGTGAAAACAGAGAATTGTCTTTTTTCAGGGGAGACGTAAGCAAGCTGAAGTTTGAAGGGAAAACCTTTTATGTCATTGGAGTCCAGAAAGAGGTGAGCATTGTTTCTCAAAATCTTTAGTCATATATTATGTTTATTCCTCTATCTTGCTAATAAAATTTGAAAAGTCGTTCTCATCATCACATTAAACGTATAACTCTTCGTTCTAACATTTGTATCCCTGAAACGCCAACTGTCACTGTGATTTAGAGCCACAGTAATCATTTGAAATCAGTTGTGCATTTGTGGAAATCAATCTGAACTCTCCATCTATTCTTCTCATCCCTCCTTCATGTTTCTGTCAATTACCTATTTTACTGGATCTGTCAGATAAACTGTACTGTTTGTAATCCTGTCCACCATCACACACAATGTATATGTGTGTCACTGTTTCAGATCTCCTTAACAGGCAGGATTCACTGTAACAGGATGGTGCGTGTGTAAAAACTAATCTCTCTCTCATTACAGTGTGTGTTTGTCTGTGACCCAAAGTAAAGCATTGCATTACAGATAAATAACATCTCAGACATGCACTGCTCCTCAGTATTTGTTCAGACTGTTAGGACACCAGCTTCATCTCTGTGTTAATCATCTTACAGAATCATGGTAGATTTGAAGCAGCAGTCTTAAACTTTACATATCTGCTTTTTTAATTTAGCAAACACATTTGCTTGCTCTTTCATCTACCTTTCAGCTGATTGGTTTTTATCCAATCTCATAAATATTCTCCTCATTGCCGTTTAACCCAGCTCTGCCATTTCTGCTTAGCATGTCAGTGTGCCTGCTTGACTGTTTGGTAACTCACAAAGGGCTGAAGATGTAGTCTTATCTTTGTGTTTCTGTCTTTTCTCTCTGTGTTAAAAAAACATAGTCTTCACTGGTGAGTAGATATAAGTAATCATGGTAGCACAAAGCATTATTGAACCCTCGCACAACACCTCTCCTTGCAGACCTTCCCCCACTTATAGAATGATGGAGTAATATTTATTCTCACTTTGTTGTTCATTTCTCGTGCATTATTGTATTGTCACTGTTTTTCAATTATCCTTATAGCCACGTAATCAAAGTGATGATAGCTTCATGGTCAATTAGATTATGCCATATTATGATGCATAATCTATACCTTATTTCTGTTTAATTCAAACAATATCTTACATATTGATTTTAGGTGTTTCCTGTTGTGTGTATTTGTGTTTTTTTATGATCTTATAAGATTTTTCCACAAAACTGATGATATCACAGATTCAATTTAAATCCATCTTTCCCACATTGGGCTGATTGCAACTTTTCACTTCCTTAATAAGACAACAGTTGCTTGAAAAAGCTTTTTTTAAGTGATGTGACAGTTTTAAGATTTTCCGGTCAGATTAATGCTTTAATTATTATGTGTCTAAAAAGGTTGACATGCTGTGAAAAATAATCCTACAAAGAAACGTATCCTTGCAACTATCAAACTTTTTTTGTAATATGGTTTGTAATTGATCTTTCCTCATGTACTTAAAATATTTAATTCATGCTTGAAAAAAACTCTAAGTTTAACAACACAAATGAATTCAGTGATTTGGTTAAACTTAGGAGTGGAGATCAGGAAGTGGGACCTATTGACAATAACATAATTGTATACCATAAAGTGTAAAAACAAGGATGCCACTTGAAAGTCCGTTTTTTTTTTTTTTTTTTCTTGCATGGATAATTTTGTCTTGTTTGTTTTTGTGCTGAAAACGCTGAGTAGTATAGATAACAATTCAATCTGAACAACAGAAGAATGTTATCTAGAAAATATGTAAAGAGGTCTCAGAATAAAATAAAATCAGGTTTTTCACTGTCCAGAAAAAAAAAACATCTCTACAATTGTAGATATTTTAACAAGATGGAATTTTTTTTCTCTTAATGTTCTTTAATGGGTTTCACACAAAGTCAAAGAGTTATGTTTTAATAAGTTATCAATGGCCTACCTTGTTATGCATCAAATTGGGTCAAGTGGCTGTTAAGAGGAGCTGGTGGATTTAAATCTAGCTGTTGGATGGTTTGAGGACAAAGAAAACTTTCCTGTGTTTTATGATATTTTCTCTTTTATGTTTAACTTTTGTTATTTTCATCTTTTTATTCACTTTTTGCTTCAGCACTTGGTGATTGTCATTGTAGCCTCCAACACATGGCTTAGAACCTCATCTTTCTTTTCCAAACTCTCTCAAACTGCAAGTAATGCAGGCAGCGTACTTTTCATTTCAGTAGGGAGGAAGCAAACCAGTTTGGACGTCTTAACCTGAAGATCAGTCACTAAAACCAGATGATTTAGTAACCAGAAGAGACGACAGGATGGATATGAACCAAGCAGATTTATTCAACACAGGCTTATGCTAATACAATAAATTATTAATTTCATGTCTTATGATACGTTTTTACCAGAAGTATCAATACATGTTTGTTTTTTAATTGGTATGGTAAAATATAATCAGGTCTTACCTTAGTATTTCAGCCAAGGTGGGACCAAAGAAGTTGTCAATGTTTGAACGTCTTTGAACATAATATCTGCAAAGGTTTTTGATTTTATCATATTAAAACACACAAATTATATGTGATTGACCCCCAAAAAAGTCTATGTTTGTAATACAGAAATAATGTAATTAGTAATTTGATAACTGATCATTGAAAATCAAATATGTTTCTATATATAGAATGTTTAGGTTGGCCAGTTTGATTGGTTTGCAGGACCTAAAGGCAGGAAATCCTGAGTCTGACCCAAAACAAGTGTAAAGATGTCTTAAAAAAGAAAAAAAGAAATTTACAAAACTAAGTCTAATAATAACAATAAATAAAATAAAAATTAAAACGTTCAGTGTTCGCCACCACACAATTTCATGCCATCACGTGAAAGAATCTCCTCAAAACACCCAGGTCTTGTGTCTCTCTTCTGTGGCCGTTCTTTTCTTTTATAGACTTTGTTCACACTTTTTCTCTTACGACCCTCTGCCATTTTCAAAGAACCACAGTGAGAAAGGCCAGCTTCAATGACTGACTGAAACCGTAGCTCATCACAGATATACACCTGAAAGCATGCATGCTCAGAAAAAGATAGCTAACTAGGGACGAGCATGTGGGATGGCCTTATGTAAACATATCATCAGACAATAAGGAAGGCCACTTATTTTAATGATCCACCTGGGAAAAGAACATCCTCCACTATACCTTTAAGTAAGTGATTTCATAGAGTCTAACTCCATGCCAGCAACAGAACCTGCCTTCCCGATATCCTTACAGGGCTTATCTGAGTCCTTCTGTGATGTGCTGCAACCCAGCACACCACCACATAAAGAAGGACACCGGAAACTACAAAATAGGGAAAAAAATGAACCTTTACCCAACCTGTCAGCTGTCTTCTTTGTTTTTCGTGATTCTGATTGTTTATGAATGTTCTCTCTCAAACCTCTGAGTTCTTCACAGAACACTCTAGACATTAAACGAAATGGATGCATCTTTTAAGGCGTGCATCCTTTTCCCTTTTACTTTATGATTGTACACTATCTTCTGTTGTTCTGGGACATTTTTTTTTTATTTTTTGTACATGGTTGTAATGTGACTATATTTTAAAAAGCTGAGGTATACAAATACTTTTGCAAGGCACTGCATGTGATGCATGACAAAAAGGGAGCTGTGCAGGAGAGGAAACAGATCCCAAAAGAACATATGCCTCATACCATGTTACCGTAACTCCCTCCATGATATTAACTACACTGTTTCCCCTCCACCTCTCACACTCTAACCTCCCATTTGATATTGATCTGGTATCTCATGTTACCAGACACACAAGATTGAAAGCAAGACATCTACAGAAATAAATCCCCTCTCCCTTCCCATAAAAAATCCATCCTCTGTAAGCTACAAGCCATTTTTACAGCTTCACACTGTGGCCAAATCACTATATCTATCTGGTATCCTGCTAAGCTTACAACTTTGGATCTGTGGGTCAGTGTTTTGTGCCTTCCTTACATTATGTTCAGCACTCCTCCTTGTTCACATGTCTTTTGGCTATTATTTTCTCAGTTCTCTCTCTGTCTCTCCTCTTCTGTGCAGAAAAAGCTGGTTTTGACATTTCACACATCGACTCCTGCTGCGTGTAAGCACCTATGGAAGTGTGGGGTGGAGAACCAGGCCTTTTATAAGTGCGTCTACAAACACAAATGTGTTATATGTATTTGTGTGATTTTTTTTTTTTTTTTTTTTTTTTTTCATTTTAATTTGAAAATGAAGGTCAACAAAAAATGTTTTTTAAATGATAAAAACAGGAGAGATTGAAAATGAACGAAAGTGAAAAACAAACAAAACTTTAACATAGTTACTGGCCATCCCACTAGTTGTGGTAAATATGTTATTTAATCTGATTATATTCAGACTGCCATATATTGATTATGAACACATGCCCTACTTGCTGTGTGTTAGAACAACAAATGAAAGTTTAAATCAAGCTCAAATCATGGTCAAATAACTGCACATATATGGAATAAATTCACCACAAGCTCTTTTCTTGACATAAGAGTTTATTTACAACAGTCATTAAGCTCCAAGTCAAACGTAGTTCAGTTAAAAACTCTCAACTATACTAGTGAAACTCAACTAAACTAAGCTACTATGTACAAAGAGGAAGGAAAAACATGATGGAAAGCCATAATCACTGAGATGATGCAATGATATAACAGGATTTTATGGTTGAAAACCAAAGTTTATCTTGAATAATTAGGGATGTGATTAAATTAGCTAATTTATAGTCATTGGAATTTTTCTCAAACTAATTCACAATGGAAATCCAAGAGGTGAATAAAATTTATTAAATGATTTGCTTAATCTGGAACCGATAACCTTTAGTTAATTGATTCTGTACCTTCTTTGAGTGAGCTAGCATCTAGCAGGCATGAGGAATCCCATTAAATGACTTTTAGTCATTATTTGGTAATCAATGTAATGAGCAAATGAGAAAAGACATGGATGTTAATGTTATGTTACTGTAAAGTGACCAGATGTCTCTAACTTCCATGGACAGTCCCCGATTTGGACCACCTTTTCCCAGCCAAAGCTGTCCTCTGACATGTCCGCAATTTTATCATTTTATGAATGAGGGGGACAATGTTGCTTTTTGAGTGTTATTACGTTAGAAAGAGTGCATGAGCATGTCGCACAGAGAAACAGCTGATACGGTAGCTAGTTGTGCTGCTGTTGATGTAAAGATAAGGAGCAGAGTGCACCTCTTCAAAAAAATAACTGACTAGCTGAGTAGCTCCCTGTCTGTGTTGCAGAGCTGGATATGCAAATGGTTGGACCTAATCTCTGTAAAGGTTTTTTTTTTTTTACTTTCTGGACCAGGATCACCCCCCTCTTCTAGGATCTAATGTCAGATTTTTATACATATAACTTGATGAACATAGAGCTTACAATGGGCACTGTGCAAATCTGTTCCAGGGTTAATAATTAAAAACTACATTTACATGGCTTATAAAAAACAAATCTTTGTGAGATGCAGAGTAATTCAAACCACTTAAGAACAAAGAAGCCTCACATTAAAAACAGCAGTTATTTCCATTAATCAATGAACTTCAGCAGCAATCAACAGAAAACATACTAAAGAATTAGATGTGAAATACATCAAAAACAAACATCAAGGCAGTTTGCATCACCCATGTGAGCTTCACACTGGAGATACAGGGTTTGGGCTCATCAATAAGCATCTGGTGGCAGGGTTACTAATCAGGGGCCCTTAACCCTCTGGATTCCATGTAGTTCCTACTGGAAGGAAACTCTGATGTCCCTGGAGGACCTGTCTGCTGAGACTGCTGACTGAGGTTTGACATTTCTTTGACAGATTTTTTTCTCCAAACTGTCAGTCCCTCTAGAGATCATTTTGTTTGGTTTTCATTTTTTTTTTTTTTTTTTTTTTTTTTTTTTTGGCTCAGTGTATTTTCACCTTGTTTTATTTGGACAAAACATGTATTTACTCTAAAGAATCAGCCAAAAATCACATTCATTGATAGGGGTTAATGTCGTAATAACCGGTTTATTGTAGCAACTTATTGTGAATTATTGTATGATGGCTTCTGGAATACAGCTGGATGCATGTCTTAGAGCCAGAGAGGGCAGGGCTGAAAGTCAGCTCAAATGTCAGACAACCACCAGAACCTCTTAATCAAATCTGACTAAATCAAGTTTGGAAATGGCTGCCAAGCAACTCCTGCTGCTCCGGCCTTCTCATAGAAAAGCTCAACTCTGAAAATTATTTCCTGGAAATTATATTAAACCCGCTGAAAAAAGAAAAGTGTATGAGGCACACAAAATCATAAATCTAATCTTGGCTGCAATCATCACTAAAAGCATGTTTAATGTACAGTAGAAAATACCCAGTCTGTAAGGATCCCAGTGAACTTTTACCCAGAATGTTCACTAGGAGTCTGTGAACACAAACCTAGAGGGGGTAAGGGTAAAATTAAACCCTAAATTCTGCCAAAAACATCCTATGTAGTGTATTCTGAATCCATGTTAAGTGCCGCTGTTTCTTCTTCTGTGTCTCTCTGTCAGGTGTGCAAAGTCGAGTCAGATAAAGACCGTCTCAAGCAGCAACATCTTTTTCAAAGGCAGCAGGTTCAGATACAGGTGAGACAGAAGATCATCTTCATCTGCATGGAAGTGGTAAAGAATATTCTGAAAATAAAACATATACGACATGATTTTAAAAATAAGTAATGAACAAACATAAAAGGCAAGGTTCCAAAAAAAAGTGAGGAATTTAATTTATACTTTTTACCATGTCTGGAAAAGCGCATGTTTATTTACAGACAGACAGACAGACAGGCAGGCAGACAGGCAGGCAGGCAGGCAGGCAGAGAGATAGATAGATAGATAGATAGATAGATAGATAGATAGATAGATAGATAGATAGATAGATAGATAGATAGATAGATAGATAGATAGATAGATAGATAGATAGATAGATAGATAGATAGATAGATAGATAGATAGATAGATAGATAGATAGATAGATAGATAGATAGATAGATAGATAGATAGATAGATAGATAGATAGATAGATAGATAGATAGATAGATAGATAGATAGATAGATAGATAGATAGATAGATAGATAGATAGATAGATAGATAGATAGATAGATAGCAGGACATCTAATGGCAGAATCTAGGTTTGGGCAATGTGAATATACAGTATATACCAGTAGCAATGACTGTAGGTCAGTTATCAAAGTAAATCAGCTTGGGCAGATGGAGCACAGGTAGTTTGAGGAGGAGAGATTAACATGAATGCCACTAAATGGACAGTTTAAAACCCAGGTTTCATTAGAAGCTAAGCTCAAAGGAATAAACTCATAAAGCTACGCCTAGAGAAAATAAACCACAACGATTACAGGGAAATGACACACCATATATATATATATGGTATGTATGTTTTACTTACCATAGTATACATAAATAAATTGTTGCACTGACTGACTGGAACTTTTAATTACATTCTATATCTATTCTAACAAAAAAAATGAAAAGCGACGTGTCGCTGTTGGTAACACCATAAATATGTGTTTTTCCTCCTGTCAGTGGAAGAGTAGCAAAAGAAGTGATAGAAGCCAGCTCCAAGATTCAGAGGGAACCGCCAGAAGTTCACAGGTGAGATTAAGACACCTGCAGCTTAATTTAAGACTCAGTTGGTGGACACAAAACAACAACTTCTGGTATTAAATGTCTTGATGTGTGTTTTGGTTTTTTTCAGAGCACAATTTGGTCAGAGTCGAAGCTTTAACTCTCTGAGCCATAAAAATCTCATCATGAACATGGAACCTCTGGTACCTGCACTGCCATCCACCAATGAATACGAAGAGACAGCAGCAGACTCTGGTAGGAAGAACCCGTATACTCTGGTTTTAGAGCGCACACCACAGCTGCACACTCATGTCCTCCTGTAACACGCCTCAGAAAGTCACATTGGGCCTCCCATGTGTAAGAAGAAGCTCATGTGCGATTCTCAGCCAAGGAGAGTTAATTGAGCAGCTGATGCTCCCTCCATCAGCCTCGTGTCCCTGGAGACACCAATTGCCACACGCTAAAAATACCCCGCCCATGATCTTCCCTGAGGATGCCACCATGCGTCTGAGTGTCTGCATGTCTGATTTTGTGTGTGCACCGTTTTCCACAGTCAGATGTGCCCTTTGTCGCTTCAGAAACAGCCGCACAGCAAACATCTGCTGCTGTATCATTAAAGAGGCTCAATCAGAAGTGATGCATTTGGCTACAGGAGTCCTTCAGTTTGTGCCCCTGTATGCATCTGGGGCTGCAATTTTATTTCAAATATATTTATATTTCTTTTTAGTTTTGGCTGATTACCATTTATGTTTGCACAATTCATTGGCTGTAATTAGCCTATTATAAAGTGCAGAGATTAAAACATTAGATTTACTATTTTTAGATAAAGCTTTTTATCAGTGGTCTTATGCTGTGTCTGAACATTCGCCCTAACCCCTAAATCCCTCAATCACTATATAGAGCGGGGACTTTATAGTAAACTCAGTTAACTGACCATTGTCTGGATACTTATTAAAATACGTAAAAGTATAGTTATCACAAACAGGATTCAGAATAAATGATAAAATGCAATTGTTCAGTCAACCTAACGGCCTTCTATGATTTCCACTGAACTAAACTTTTAGATTTATTGAGCCTATGAAAGATAGTTGGCTTTCCTTTTTTTCCTCATTATCATTGCTTTTTTATGATTTTATTTGCCTTTATTCTCTCCACATTGTGCTCCTACTTGATTTAAGCATCAATCTTGTTGATAGGTCAGGAAAGAGATGCTGGTGTAGAAGAGTCCAGGGTAGAATTACATAAGAGTGGGGACAAACAGGGTGAATGGAAATGAGAGGGGGATATTATGACAGAAGAGCTAAATGATAAGGCAGAATTAAGCGTCACAATTTGAGTGATCAGTGAGGATGTGGAAACAGAACAATAAATGAATGATAATTACAAAGAGAAGCAGGTAAAGGCATGTTTATAAAGGTTTTTGAAAGTACAGGGATGTCTGATGTAATGCAACTAAACACGAAGATTTTAACTAATGATACCTTATAAATGTTGATTTAAAAGCTCTCTATAAATATAGATCTAAAGTTGGACCTTTGTCTTTACAGTCAGAGGAGTCGCCCCTGGAGGACACTAATAGAAGTTACTCTTAGTGGTTGTAGTAGAAACATTAGATATTATATCAAGCTTTTTATAGCTTTATAATTTAATGTTTGTTAAGGGATTAATGAGAAATGAAAAAGATAGGTGGGGTTAAAAAAATATAGAATTCATTATTGAAAGGGATAAGCAGGTGGGGGTTAAGAGGGTGAGGGGAAAAGGAAAGAATAGAGTTCATAGATGACTAAAGTATTTACACTAAGGAATTTAGACTTAAATATATATGGAACCAATGAAAAAATAGTCCACAAAAATCACATTGGATCGGATTTTGAAAAATTTGTATAATCAACTCAGTACCTGCTAGTATAACCTTTGTGGGTAATGATAGATGTCAAACATTTCCTGTAAGTAAAAAAAAAATATATATATATATATATATATATATATATATATATATATATATATATATATATATATTTGTTAAGTTAATAGATAATATAAGCTGTCAAATAATAAAAAAATATGGTCCTAAGACTCAAACTTCTGTTTTGTCTTCATTCAGGAGCAGAAAGTTAAGAGTCATCCAGGTTTTATATATACGCACACATAAGTATTGTATGCCTGATATTGCTGTTAGTTTTGCCTCTTTTTGGAAGAGTTCAAGTTTGAATTTGGGGGCTGCCCCCTTTATTTCACACTGCGGGTTGTACCTTAAATCAAGAGACCATTGAGGTAGGGATTATGTATCAGCATAAAAGTCAACTTAAATATGCTCTACTTTGCTCTGCAGTAAAGGCCACTTAGTTTCATGAATTTTACAGTGATGATCATCAAAGCAAGTTCTTTTAAATCTCTTCTCACACATAAACTGTGAAATGCTGACTGAAGAAGCTGCTGCAAGGACTTTGGGATAAAGTGTCCCCAAGATGGTCTAGGATCACCATCTATATTCAGAGCACTAATCTCGACTATTAGTGGGAAACAGGAAGCTGACCCAAGGTCAGTGGTGTCCTTGTCCTGTTTGTGTGGACTGTCTTATGACAAAATCCAAACAAAATCCCAACCAGGCATTTTTTTTTCGTATTACAGTTTGTTCTACAGAAGCTTTTTGTTTTGGAGGAATCTATATTTGGAGCTTCAGATTGCAACATATATAGAGGATAGCAGAGGACATGGAAGATAGTATAACATATAATAGATAGCAGGATCATGGTAGTGATTTGACAAGTCATCGCTCTGGTTAATCAGAGGGTGTATTCCAGAGAATGATGTTTCTCTTTTGCCTTGTTCTATAACTAATGCACAATAGAGCAAGGTTTATCGTCGGCAGAAGAGGCAGAAAAAGGCAGCCTCGTAGAAAGGAAAAGAAAGGGATCCCTATCCCAGTAGGGGTCAGGCCTGCCCCTCTGTAAGCACAGCTAGATTAGCTGCTTCTCTGCAGTTAGGACCACCTTGTTATATATAGAAACTGCAGCTTTGGGCCTGATCCTCCTCTAATGCCCCCTCCACTCTATGTTAATATCACTGACATTCACAGGAGGGCCCACTGTGTCTGTGTATGAGTTGGGGCATGTGTCTGGTGAATGTCTCTGCTTTTGAGCCCAGCTGGCAGTCCGCTCAGTGAGGGTGTGGGGGACTCAGCATAGAGCTGGTAAATACTTTGCTGTCAGACCAAACCATGGAGCTTCTTGGAGCTTCAGGGGAATTCCTGCAGAGCACCTTGGAGCTGAGAGTCACCGACCATCCTAAAGTAGGGGATACAAAAAGGTCTATAAGCCAGGGACAAGCAGGAGGACTGACAGTGGACCTGATATCAGAGAGACCGCAGTCAGAGAGGATGGAACAGGGACCGGCTGGGCCTATTGAGGTTTTCGAGGAGCAGGCAGCCTCGGTGGTGGTGGCCGAGGCCGCCAGATGTCAGGTTAAGATAACAACACGGCGGAGCATCCATCTACGAATAGCCAATCACACTGCACGAGACATTTATGTGAGACTGGCTGGGCATGGTGGACGAATCACAGGAACCAGAACCGGACATCAGAGAGGCTCACTGGAACAGAGTATGGGTACAAAAAGAAAGAAATAGTTCAACATATATAAGAAGCATATTCTCTATCTGAAATATTTTAAGGAATTAATATAGCCTGGAAAAGTCTGGACATTTTTTTATTTGATGTAGGCATTTTCCATTTCTGAATAAATATTGAAAAAAGTGTATAGGATAATATTTGTTTTTTCTGTCCTCAGTCCTAATTCCATGTCTAAATGTTGTATCCCTCCTCCATTCTTCCCTCTCCTCTTTCATCCCCTTTTACAGTCCTTCTTTCTGCTTTTACTCATATTTCATTCCTTCCTTTTCCTAATCTTTTCTTTCCTATTCTTACCCGTCCTTTCTCCCTTCGATTTAACTTTCTTTTCTCCTTTGCCCCTTTTACTGTCCTACATTTCTTCCTGCTTCTTTTTTTCCCCTTGTTTCTTTCAATACACCTGTCCTTGGTTTTTCCCTCCATTCTCACTTGAATTTGTCCTTCCTTTAACTTATCTTTTCTTCTCAAGTTCTCTTGTTTCTTTTTTTAACTATTCTTCCCTATCGCCACCTATCTACCTACAATTCTCATCTCCTTCCTTCATTGTTTTCTGTCATTCATTGTCTTACATTTTTCTTCTATCTTTCCTTACTCCCTTCCCTCCTTCCTTTCTTTCTGCGTTTCCCCCTTCTTGCTTTTCCTATTTTCTCTCTTTCTTTGGTTCAGTTTTTTTTTATCATTCTCAGTTCTTTTTTCTTGCTTTACTGCCACAAATAGTAATTTGTGCCATAGATTAATGAGCAGGGCTTTTAGTAGATATACTCTATAAAGATAGTGGGTGTTCATGCTGCCATAACCTACTTATATTGTAGCTTAACCAGAAAGCTCATCTGTTTTCTCAATATTTGGGAAGAGACATCTTTTAACCAATTCTGTAAAAGAATATAAAAGAAGAATTACCATTCAGTATGTATGTGACATGCACGTTATTCTATTGTTGGCAGGTCCTGCATACAGGAGGTAACTTTACAAACTCAGAAAGCAGAAGCTACAATTTGAACAAGAAACCCACATTTTTGTAAACTCGACTATGTTGAAAAATGAAATGAGGAATAAATATTTGTGAATTATACATTAACAAGTGGTGTCAATATTGATGAACCATATAGGGTTCATAAACCAATGAGTCAAACAAAGCTAGCTAAATTAACTAGCCTCACTACTCATCTCAATTTGAAGGAAAAATTCTTCAATTCTGAAATAGGCTAAAGTAGAAGCAATTCTATTTCTGTATCTTTATAAGGATTAAGGTTTTTTTTCATGAGTAATACTAAAATAAAAACCTTGATTAATAAATATAGGATGTTTATTCTATGATTATACTATGATAACTGGCATTTAACATGGTGAGGAGCATATGTATGATTAATAATTCTTTAATTCAATCATTGATTATTTATTTCAGACACATAAACTTAAAAAAAATATATTAATGCTAATCTGAGAGTTTGAAAGAGAAAAGGAAGCATGAACATGCTCGACCCATCAGCTTTTAGCGCCATAATCAACACCAAAGAAACCACATTGAGTATAATCAGGCTGCTATCTAACTCATAAACACTAAAAATTAGAATGAAAATCTTGCTGCTCATGCTCCACTTGTTTGTATACTTGGCTTATGGCTTATGACTTGGCACAAACAAAGTTTTCTGAAAGGAAACATCTAGAGTTTTTGGACAGGGTAAAACTGCAATCATCCCCAGATTTAGACGAAATCTGAAATACCTAACAAAACAGTAAAAACATTTGCCAACAAACTTGTTCCAGTGAACAGTCCTTACTATCCCAGTCTGTACAGGTTTCTGATATTTGGTATTTCTGAATCCCTACTAGACTTTTAGCCCTACCTTTGGCAGTGTGTGCTCTCTGGAGAGGAGCCATGTGAGGCTTAACAACCAATCTGCCTCTAATTAGCTGAGCAACCAATCAGAGGCAGACTTCAGGTAACAAGTGAGCCATATCAGTGTAGACAGGCTTTCTTATGTATATATTGATCTCCTCAGTCATTATAAGACGTAACAGAGGCTATTTTAAAATGTTTCCATTGTATCGTTTGTTAACCTCTCCACTTCTTTTCATCCATTTCCACAAGCAGTTATTTTTCCATAGCTTTCCATGTCATCACAAAGCTGCAAGACAAGCTCTGGAGCTGAAGTTCTTCACGTTCTGATTCTTATTTCTCTAGACATTAACCCCCCCCCCCCCCCCCCCCCCCCCCAGCTCCTTCTCAATCTGCTGGGGGGAGAGGGCTGGTTTTATTTTTACACATACATTACTTATTTAGATGGATTGTATTTAGATTCATTATTTAGATTCATTCACTCATCATTAAGTCAACACCTTAGATTTCACTAAATCCACACAGCTGCTCTATTGTCCTATTTCAGCGTATCATTAATGAGATTTACTTTGACAAAACCTTCAAGTAGAAAGAGAAAGAAGCACAAATAGCATAAAAACTGGCTCTAACCTTAACTAATGCACAGTTAAAATTCCCATGCTAGCCTCTGCAGGCCTGCAGAACATCCTAGCTGTGACATGTACTTTGAACCAAGCAGATGGTAGCTCTGGTATATCCTTCATTTCTGTGTCAACAACTTACATAACTGATCTCAATTTTTTGATATTTAAATTTAAGGTGGTTCCTTGACTTTTATTAGGCAATATTTCTTATATTATGTGCACAAGTTGTCAACCTAGGACAAGAGCACCATCGTGTGGTTAATATATGGAACTGGAGCTTTAACTAGATCTTTGCAGCTAAAGCTGGTGTAATATATGACTGTAGCATAAATATTCAGTTTGGTATTATGTCACAGCATTTGCTGAATGAGTGCAAAAGCATGAAAAAACTACTTCTGTTTTTGGACAGGCAACATTTTCTCTCATACTGGAATAATCAGATGAAAAATGGATACTGAGAAACCAGATGTCTTATGTTGTTGTTGTTTTTTTATCCAGTAAAACATAACCTCCTTAGAATTTTCATATTTGAGAAATCCTAATGTACTTCATTGAATCTTTTTAATGAAGCATTTTTCTGTGCATTTCCTTTTCTCAGGCATTGTAGCTGTTAAGGACCCAGCTCCCCTGTCTCCTCTCGAGCCCCCTGGGCCAGACACTGATCAGCCAAGTGCAGAAAGAGGAAACTCCTCTTTGATCAATGAACCACAGCCTCACTGTGTTTCCCTGGAAACCTCAAACATCCCACCCCAAACACCCAAAGCTGAAGACGGACTGGAGGAAGACGGCGAGGGCTGCTGTCCACTCACCATCTCTGAACTTGCCTACAGGTCTATAACAAACCTTGAATAAACATGGATCATAGTTACGCTTTTCAAACGAATTAAGACAAAATGTGTTATTGCTTAGTTTTGGGAAACTACGTTGCAGCTTAAAAGCTGGTTTTCAGCAACTTTTAATTAAATAACTGTTGATCAAAGCATCTTCTCATCTCACTACCTGATCAGACTAAACCTGAATAATAACACTAGAATAATAAGCTTGTCAAAGATGTCTACCCTCATCTTCCTAATGTTTAGTAGGTCTACCTTTAAGCTTTATGATTGGATCAAGCATTTTTTATATCCTTCCACAAGCTTCTTGTGATGCTCTGGAATTTATCATTGCTGCAGACAGACTATATATAACCTAGTCAGGTTATAGGCTACATTTCTAACTGGTTTTAGGCTCTTCCAACAAATTTTCATCAACATTGAGACCTTTATATAGTAGCATCTTTAAATCATTGGCTTTGCTACCACTTTAAAGAGCAATGCCAAATGTTTATTCACAGTACCAATTGTTTACATATACATTTGCAATAACCTACTTTAACTGTAATATGCAATTACCTTCCACTGCACTTTAATTTAGATAGCTTCTGTCCAAACTTTATTTATTAATTTTATAGTCAAATCCATCTGTATCCATCTATATATGCTATAGTACCTAACTATCTTTTTATAGTAATATCCACCTGTATATTATATTAGGTACATATCCAGCTGTAAATTTAGTTCATAACACTTTTTATCTATATATTATCTTCATCTATAAGTAAAATTCTGTTTATAATAGTATTCATCTCTATATTTATTCAGTAGAAACCCATGTCCTGTATTTATGGAACCGTTATTTATCCTGCTCTTGCTCCTATTGCACTTCTGGTTAGACCTAAACTGCATTTTGTTGCCTTTTACCTGTACCTGTCAGTAAAGTTGAATCTAATCTGAAAAACAATTTAGAAATATATATATCTCTAATGGTCTGGCATAGTTCAAATATAGATGATGAAGTTATCCTAAAATATGAAATATTTAGTATGTTACCTTTAATATAAAATTGAGCAAATATGAATATTTTTTATAGTCTTAACTTACCTAGTAAGCAGAACTATACTTTGAAATGAAATAGTTTTGAGCTTTTTTCAACATTTTCCAAGGATAGCTGGGTTTTTATCTGTACAATTCATGGTAACATGTTTTCATACACTTTGCACACATCAATATGTTAATCCTAAATGCTTTCTCTAAAAAAACAATTGCCTTATTAAATTTGAACTCATGTAAACTTATCTCACTTCTCCAGCCCCTGCGCCAGTATGCTCCCCACCCCAGTGGAGGACAGTCAGGGAGGAGTCAACCAGCTCTTCTTCTCTCCAGTCCAGAGTCCCGCTAGGTTGCTGAGAGAGCTCCACGCTGACCCTGACATCCAAGCACAGCTGGAGGCTGAAAGGGAGCGAGACCGAGCATATGAACGCAGTCGCCTGGCCTCCAGAAGTGGAATGAGCAGGGCCCTTGCCAGTAGCCTGCGCCTGCTTTCATCCAACGAGAGAGTCAACACCTGGGTGCTGGGTGTAGCTAGGTTTGCTGCTGTTCTCATGGGTGTCCTACTTATCACTGTGCCCACACTGCTGCTGCTGCTGGAGTCGGACATCGACGTGTCGTTCCTCCACGAGATCAGGCAGACGCCAGAATTCGAGCAGTTCCACTACGAGTATTACTGCCCACTGCGACGCTGGATTCTCTGTAAGATCAGCATGGCCTTGGAGAACCTGTGGTCTGACTGAGGAAGAGGGAGATAGAAGAAAAGGAATTATTATTTTCAGTTCAAAGAAAGATGGAGCCAAATGTCTGTCTAAACATGTGGTTTAACTTCAGATGTCTTAATTCATTTTAATTAACCAGTTAGGTGAAGTTAACTGTCCTGTTCAAAAGTGTTTCCAACAATTTGAAAATAATTCTATTTCTTTGACCTGATAGGTAGACTGATTTACCTCCTAAGGTTAAACTTCATTTAAGTAATCATCATGAAGGTGGATCACCTGATAAGACTGACATTTCTGGCAAGAATTACCTGAGAATAAAAAAAGGAAATCATGAAGGGAAGCAGAATGAATAATTTTTTTTATTGGTTTTATTTTTCTTTACATTTGAAAAGCTTCTGCACTCCTGATGCTGACAAGTGGAGACAGAGACTCACTAATAACTCTGATTGGTTTCATCTTTTAAACCAGGTCACCTGATTGGTTATCAGGTCTGTCAGTGATGAAGGAGTGGGTGGGAACTGAAAGAAAAAAAAATACCAGTAAACACAACAACAGCAACCGATTCATTAGAAAATACAAAATAATACTGAAAATTGCTACCAATATTAAATAAGTTGTTTTTAAAGTTTTATACGTTTATATGTGATTCAGATCTTTCAGGAATTTTTCAGTCAGAAGATCAACCTTGAGCTTATTTTCAAATTAAGAGTTTACAAATGGTCACTATATATATATATATATATTAAAAAATAAAAGCTTATTTACTCCAGTTTGTCAGAATGGTGGGTTTTGAGAAATTATTTTTTTAAGACTACCATCAACAGCTGTTTTCCTTGTGGTGGTGGAACTCTGGTTTTACTCCAGCAAAAGTTAGAGCACAAAACTTCAAGCTTCATTTTTTATCTTTTTATTTTTATTATTTTGTTTTTTTGTTTGGATTATTTGATGTCATTATGAAGGAAAGCGCGTAGAGAAAAACAAACCTGTGATTATAAAATGTCTTTTGAGGGACCTTAACTGTTTTGTGAACTAAATGTCAGTTCCTGGGTTAGGATCATTAATTTTAGCAAATGCAGCAAAAATAAAACCTAAAGGGAAAGGGAAAATGTAGAAAGAAAATAATGTCAGATTTGTCACCCGAGGATTTGAAAGGTATTACTTAAAAAAAAAAAGCTTTGCGTATGTGTTGATGGAAAGCAAAGAAGCAGATAAAAGGAAAATAATTTAAGGAAACAATCATCAGGCTTTTATTATAGATACATGAATGGTAAAGTGAGGATTGTCAATGGTTTGGTCAAATGGTTCTCATAGTTTTATAGCAAGTATTGCCTCATAGAAAAACCACTACAACTATCTTGATCAAATATTGAAAGTAATGTGCAACAGTGTCCATGGACCAAACCAGGTCTCTGCCATGTTGGACAAGTAATATCAAACTAACAGTAAAGAAACATATTTACATAAACTGTGTAATATTATTTTTTTTTCATCTGAAATGAAACCCGACTACACATTTTATCTTTTAGCTTATTATGCTCATATTAGCTCATAATGGTTCCAGTGATTGCTGAAAAAATGAGTAGTGAGAGGAAATATGTTCATTGTTAATGCAGACATTTACATAGACTTCAGGTTTGAGAAAGAACATGTGATGATCTTATTAATGGCTTTGCAAGCCTTTTGATAGGTTGAGTCACACTATTTAAGTTAATGAGGAATGTGGAAGTATTTCAAGGCTATATCTCAATAAAAATATAGCTTGACATTAAGAGTTGTGCAGACGTGCACAGGTCCTCTTCTCTATCTTGGATACAGTTTCAAGATGCCTGACTGCATTGCTTTATTGTGTTTAGTAAATTAAAGTAATTAGTAATTTTAAAAAGTAATTAAACAGAATAATTAAATTACTCTGTTGAAGTAATTATATGCAAGTATAACCAGAGTGGAATTATTCAGCCATCATACCTCTCATAAGTACGTGTGTGTGTGTGTGTGTGTGTGTGTGTGTGTGTGTGTGTGTGTGTGTGTGGTGGGGAGGGGGTAACATCTCAAATCTGATCTGATTTGAGATGTTACTTTTATTTTTTTAATCTTTTTAGAATCTTATTTTAAAAGGATGGGTTTTTTTTTGTGAAGTGCACCATTCTCTCCAATAGCAAAACAGCATTGTATCATGATGCTGCCAATCTCATACTCAATAGTTTTCATTTAAAGATAGTAATGGTCGTTATGCTGCATATGATTTTTACCAGACCAAAGAAATTTAGAAATTAAAGTTTTACCTCCTGCATTCATTTACATTCTTTAATCTGGTTTTTTATTTAGCTTTTTGCAAAGTGTCCTTTTAGGCCACGTCAGTAAAGTACTGTGGATACTGATACTCTCTAAGCCGCTACAGAAAGTATCTTGGTGAGGTTTGGTTTCCACACTGTTAATTAATATCTATGTTTATTTACACAGACTAATATTACACCCTAAGGTATTATGAAATTGTATCCAAGGATGATCCAGATGATCACCCCCCATCCCCCCCACCCACCCACCCCTTACTCACATGTAATGAATTAATGTATCAAAGGCTTACATCATCTGGACTTTCCTAAATTGTTTAAAGATGCACTGCAATCTTAGTGTACGATATGTAAACTTCTCATATTAAATAAAGACAAAAAAGTATTTGCCTTCTATTAAGTTTGAAGTCCAGCGATTGACTTTCCAACTGACTCTAAAAAACACCCCGTCTTGTTAAGCTTGGTGCCTCATGAGTTAAAATGTTAAAAAAAAACAATCCACTGGACTTTGTTTCCAAGTTTGAAGACGTTTCGCTTCCCATCCAGGAAGCTTTTTCAATTAAAAATGTCAGAAATTGGTATTGTTTTTCACAACTGAAAGTAGAATGCCCTCATTCTTAGCTCTGAAATCCATGACAAAAATAAGCCCAGAATGATAAATACACTACTGGCTGTGATACTTGTGCAAAAGTGTGAGAACCATAGACCTGATCCAATCATGCAAGCAAATCGCTCCTGTGAGAAAAATACTGCTAAATTGTAGCACACTCACCAAGGCAACGAACAGATCTATAGAGAAGATTTCCTGAAAAAGTCATTAAGAAACTTGTTGCTATGGAATATCCGAGTGTTTGTCATTCAGTTTGTACATCATTAAAATAATACAAGTTAAAAAAGTCAGGTAAAAAGTCATCACTGACTTGGAAAAACACATAACTATTGTATTGAGTGAGTTATCAACATTTATTGGTTATGAAAAACATGCAATGATGAGCACGGACCTTGGATACACAAAAAAGTAGCTTACTCTCAGGAAAGCTCAACTGTTTATGTGAACATGAAAACAGATGTCATAGATAACATTCACACAATATATTTCTCCGGATAGCATCATAGCATTAATGTGGAACCAAATATTAGTAAAGCTGCAGTCTATCTACATAGTTTAATCAGTTGTGTATGCATCCATGTCATTCTGATAGAACTGTTTGGTCTTCTTAGGTGCAACATATTGTGTATTTTTTTTATGTATTCTTCCTGCTAAAGTCATACTGAAACATTTAGCGTACATGAATCTCAACTCATATGACATAGTGCATCATTCAAAAGTAAATCCTTTTATTTCCTTCCATCTGATGTCTTATGATTAGCTGTATTTTTCTGTAACTTTATACACTTTATGCATTTGCAAGCTTTATGCATATAAATTATGCAGTAACAAAAGAAACATGTATTTGAGAAAAAGCCTTTATTTTCCTACTACAGCACATGCACTGACTTTCACAGATGAAACAAAGCAAAGGGCCAAAATGCGACGATGACGTTCACTTCAGACGTCACAGATCTGAGTTCGGCTTTGCTTCACTGTGGAGGATGAACCTGACAACCCGTATGCACTGACGCTGTAAAATAATCCACATCCGATCGTGGACAAATATGTCATATTTTATTTATCCCTAAATGTTAGGACATTAATTAAAGCTTCAGATATGTTGCAGATGTAAAAAAAAAAAAAAAAAAAAGGCGATGCAAACACATCATTTACACATGTATACTGCTGTGCTGCATTCACTAGAGAATAGTTCACCTGGCTCCATGAGCTCGTAATGCAAACCGCATGCCCTCATCTGTAAATATTGTGTTTATAGTTGTGATTTTACTAAGAAAAACAAACAACAACAAAAAACACAGGCAGATAAAGATCTTCCTCTTTCTTCTCTATGTATGTCTTTATGTGAAGCTATGTATAGGCTTGGCTGTCTCATCCATATTAGACTATTGCTTGTTATCTGTATTTTTTTTAAGCTAACAGAAGGACAAATCATCATGTTAATGAGAGTTTCTTTTCTTTTTGGCTCCAGTTTTACATATTTACTTGAGATGATAAAAAATAAAAAAATACTAAAGTGAAAATTGGCTCTGAGGGGCAGAGAAAGTGAGGATGAGCTGAGAAGGTTAAGCTGGGATGTGAGGATAAGGGGAAGTGACAGGGAATTTGAAATAGCTAACTAATCTAAATACTTACAATAAAATGCGATGCTGATGAACAAGGTAATAAAATGCACACCTGAAGATCAGATGGATTAATGCTGCCCATTCCAAACCATGACCTGGGTGGCTCTACTGAAACACCTCTATAGCACAATGTTTTTTAGATTACTCCTAAACCCAGAGCAGTGACATAGACATATAAATGGAAAAAGGAAAATTCAACTAGAGTAGCCATGTTTCGGCTCACAGAGTTATACACTTTTTTAGACGGTTTTCAAACAAAATGTCAAAATTTAAACAATAAGATAATACTGTGCTTTTAAAGTCCAAAATATGCAGTTTATCTACAAAAACAGTTACTTTAATATTTTTCAGAACAGTTTCCTTTGCTAACTGTGTTTGACAAGTTTAAACATTTAAATCTAAGCCTCCAAAAATGAAGTTTTAAAGTACTTGAAAGGTTATGTTCATCATGCTCAGCTATGTGTTCATAAAGCATTAAAGGAGAGCTTTGGCGCTAATCTCATCGCTAACAGCATGCCTGCGTGTCAACTACCATGAAATGGATTCATAAGATTTTGTTTTGGGAAACATACATCTAACAGAATTTCAGTCATTGTCAACCAACCAGTCAAAGTATGGATTTGCTCAGTTAGTCAAAGAACAATTATGTTAAAAAACAGAACAGCAACCAATGAAGAGATGTTTTGATTCTGAGACGACATACTGTTTTGATTTTCTGATTGACTCTGTAGCACTGTGTGGTTATAGCTCTTTTAGAGGGAAATGATTTAGAGTTTTTAGCTCTTGAGCTAATTGCCCTCCCATGTTTGATAAGCAGTACAGCTTATAAGTGTTGAGATTTATCAAAAATTATTCAAAAAAATGGTGCACCTTTAGAGGTCCCAAGAAGTCTTAATGATGTGGTTCTATATTCTTAAATGAAAATGAATATTCCCTCATCAAAGATAAATTTGACAAAAACATAGTATTCGGATTTTAAAACACTGTTTTTGAAAATGTATTTAAGATTTTAAAACTCAGGTCTTATATATGCAAAAATGCTGGATAATAGGGGAAGGTTTCAGTATTTTAAGGGCATGTACAGTAGCAGATTATCATGCATGTTTTCTGTAGTTTTTTTTTCTTCCTGTTTTTCTGTCAATATTTGTTGAATATTTGGTTACAGTTCTGGTCTGAAGTTTACATACACTCACAATTTACATTGATGTCATAT